ACTATCTCTGAATAAATAGCTAAATATGACTCATCCTGATTACCTTGAATTTTGTTAAAAATACACAAGTATAATCTCTTTACTGATTGAATCTAACACGTTCCCACATGTCATGCTAACTGGCCTATAGATTGCATTTTGCTGCCTCTCTCCCATCTTTAGTGTCTATATTTCCTGCCTGCCAGTCTGGATCCAATCTGGTGTTTGTCCTACTCACTGCACTTATTTCTCAATTATATCTTTAGGAGTTTTATACCTCAAGAACTGAATGGATTCTGGTGATCTCCTGTGATAAAGTTAACAATGTTCTCTTAAAACTAATCTGTGCTGCTGATGCTGGATGTCTGCTTCACTCACAGTCTGAATGGCTTTCTCTGAAATCAGATCTTCTTTTTACTGTAATAGTTTGGATAAATACCTATAAACAGTTCCTAAAACAATTCAGTCCTTTTGAACCGTGACTTTAAACTTCCATAACCACATTTTTACACTAATCTGTAGAGATTATTAATGGAATTAGAATTGGATTGTCCTGGATGCTGAATTCTTTTGTTAAATCTTGTTCTTTCAAGAAGTCTATTTATTCTGAGGTTGAAGTAATTGTCAAAGGCTTTCACTACTTCTTCGAAAGTATCTGATGCTTAGTGAGCTCTCATATATCAACTATACCCTTAACTAAATATAGATTTGGCAGCTCATTGTCTGCATAAACAGCCTTAGTAAAGCTGTGTCTGAAGAAATCTTCTCATCTCCACCTCTGCCAGGGAGGGAGCTAAACGGAGTCAGTGGCACCATTCGCCACCATGTTATAGGATGAATCCTCACTCCTGCTCAACGTGTATGAACGACATACGTTTACTGCCACCATCCTCTTTCCTGGCAGGCGTGTACAGTGCTTAGTCGATCTAGTGTCGTAAAGAAAAACTACTTGGCAGTCTAACTGTGGAAGAATAATTAAAGCATAAAGAGAGAATGTAGCTAAAGTTTAGAATTAGAGGATGGAATGATGGGAAAATAGGTCCAGTAAGATATACATGACAAATTGTTGCAAGACACTGCAGGAAACATTAGATCATATTGTGCAATGTTGCCCCTTAACTAAGTTAGTTCCACTTAACAATAACAAGTCAGCAACTACAAGTTGTGAAATCATGAGAGGTGGCCGACCTTGAGGGGATGTGGTAATGTGTGTACGTGCTTGCTCGTGTGTTTGTAAGTCGCCTCTTCCTGTATAAAAACTACTATATTTCTGTAATCTGCGGAGACTATGGATCTGACCCTTTGTCAGCATTGGCTCCCCGTGATATCACGAATAAGGCCTCTTTACCTTGAAGTCTGAAGCTCCGGTGTGTGACTAAATTAATATCCCTGACACTAACAAGAAGAGGCATTCATCTTCAACAACATGTAATTTATTGTATTTCACAACTGCTTAGAAGTTACAAGATATGTGATAGATATCATTTACAGAGAACATGAGGAAAACTCTTAGGCCTTACTCCATCCAGATTCCAAACTATTCTCCTCACAATTCCATAACAACATGATATTGGGTGCTATGCAAGTCAAACCTCAGCATAAACTTGTTCAGATCATTGTATCCTTTTACAGTACTCCAGTTGAGATTTCTCCTCATCTAATCCCATCAACATATCTGCCTATTCCATTCTTGTTCATGTGTCCAGTTCCTATCTGCCCTGCTGAATCCCATATGAGGCTGGTGCAATGCTAGCACACACTTCTCACTGTGTACTTGCCTCACCTACATGATTCTCAATCTGAAAGGTTCTAAAACCTGCTCTCCCTTTTAACTATTCTGTCCTGTCCCTTCACTAAAATCTAAAGGAGCTTTTGCTCGATCTTCACTGGCCTAAACTGCAGGGATACTGAGATTCGTGCCTTAAAATCAAAATGCCATTCAATGCTGGTATTTTCAAGGCCCCTTGGCAACATTACTGTCTTCAGGGAGACCACCAAAAATTTAACTCTTGTTCCATGAGGAACATGTGCCTCCTCATCCTTCCTATCAAAATACAATACTTCGCTCTATCAACATTGAAGTTCATTTGTGAATTATTTGACCTTACTGCAAGTTTATTCGTGTTTTCCTGTATTTCATCACAGTCCTCCTTTGCAATAACTGTACAGCCCAATTGATGTCATCTTCAACTCAAAATTGTACTTCCAATTCCTAAGCCCAAATGGTTCATGAATATGGTGATCAGTATGCCAGCATTGGCCCTTAAGAAATACCATTCCCCCACAATTGCTAATCTGAGTAATTGAAGTGAATAGGATAGGTATATTAATTGTGAAGCTAGAAAAACAAATGAGGAGAAAGAAAGAGAATGTTATACTGATAAAGTTAAATTCAAATGATGGAAGGAGGTTCATGTGAAACATAAATATTGGTATAAACCAGTTGGGTGGTAAATTCTATCTAATTCTATATGATATCTGATGCAGTCCACTCTCAATTCAAAGCCACTTAAAGTTATCTTTCTGACAATTCCATTTTTCGATACTAGACTATCCTTTTCCACATTATTTAATGCACCTTAATACAGATTATTGGATAATTAATGTTTTAGTGCAAAGACAAAAATTTCAATTGTCAAGACCAAACTGTCCCCAGTGTAAACTGTCTCTACAGCAGTTTTATAGTGTAGTCCTGGTCTCTGTCTATTTATATCCATATAACAGAGGGCAAACCACATTGGATATAAAATATTTGAGAGAACTTGAGAAAAACACAATATAAATATTTCCTTCTATCTAACTTCATTTGGGGAATCCAAATTAGGGTTTAGAACATAACTGGCATTATATTATTTTTCTAATTGTTTATGATTGATTTCGAGAAAATACACAGAAGCACACACTGAATGTGAATGCGCACTGTTTTAAACACTTGGATATGTGGTTAACCAATTCTTAACCAATGGTGTTTCTCAGACTGCACAATTATGTGAATATCCAATATGCCACATTCACCACTTGTTTGTGCAAGGTCATCTGGAAAACCTTTGGTGCAAGATCAGCAGAATAAAATGGCACAAACAGATGTTTTCATTGTTGCTCCAGAGTTTCCAATAGTCTTCCGAAATGATACGGGGTGAAAATAGAGAAACCTCTGCTTAGAGTTTACCCCTTGTAGTGACTAATTTTGCAAACATTGACACAAAACATATTTTTACATTAAAATCTTCAATTTGTTGGACCTATTGCTAAAGCAAACTTTATAAAATATAAATATACATTTTCCTTCACAATGCATTGCAGTTACACCCCTGGACACTTACAGACATAAATGTACTGCCATGAATTGGACAAATAAGGAGGCTTTAGAAATTGGAAGTAAAATTTACATGTTTAAGATTCATTCCATAATGGTGACATTAAAGGGATTTTTAAGTTGATAATTTCACACTGCTAACAGGATTTGTGCAGTACTTTTGGTAATGTATCAATACGTAATAGTTGTGGCTAGTCAAAAAAGAACAACTATTGACTGTTTATTTCATTTTATTAAGGACCAGCTGGAAAGCGAGGGACAGCAAGCGACTTTTGCAACCACTGGAATTCAATGGCAGGGATGAAGTGTGCGATAGTAGTCCTGTATCTCCTTGTTTTCGTCATTTGTATTGGAATTATCATTGTTGCAGGTAACACATCCTGTTTTCACAGGGCAGTTTTTCCCTGTTGCCATAAGTGGCAGGTAATATAAACAAGCATTGTTAAAATCTCAGCTCAGCCATAAGCCAGATGTTTTCCTCGCTTATTCATTTGAGTTGCTTAGATGATGCAGAAAGGTCATTTTTAAACTAATTCTCATGTCTATCATTATGGCTGGGTCCTGGGCAAGGTTTCCTAAGTTAAAATGGAACCAAAAGGAATACTCAAAATTGTCAATTTCCCAGGAGATAAGGAATGAATTTACTCCACTTTTTTATTCAGCTGTTGCCTCTACAGGTCACAAAAAGGTTAATTCACAATAAATCCTCTCCCTTGTGGATACCTTTCTCCTAGACCAAAATTAATTTATGTTTCAAAAGGAGCCAATTTAGCCAAACTTTCCCGAGTTAACTAAAAAGTGAATTTATTAATAACAAAATGTGAGAAGAAATAATAATGCTACACACAAGTGTACAGATTAGAAATGTGAAGTGATCCAAATGAAAGCAAGTTAAAATATATAATATAAATATTTATATATAAATATATATATAAATATATAAATATAAATATATATAATATATAATATAAAATATATAAAAATATAATAAAATATAAAATGCTATCCCCTATTCCCAATTCCTTCGCCTCCGCCGCATCTGCTCCCAGGATGAGGCATTCCACTCCCGTACATCTCAGTTGTCCTCGTTTTTCAAGGACCGTAACTTCCCCTCCTCGGTGGTCGAGAACGCCCTCAACCGTGTCTCCCACATCTCCCGCACCTCATCCCTCACACCCCGTCCACGCAATAAAAACCAAAAAAGAATCCCCCTCGTCCTCACGTACCACCCCACCAACCTCCGGATCCAACGCATCATCCTCTGACACTTCCGCCATCTGCAATCCAACCCCACCACCAAAGACATCTTTCCCTCCCCACCCTTATCTGCTTTCCGGAGGGACAACTCTCTCCGTGACTTCCTTGTCCGCTCCACACTCCCCTCCAGCTCCACCACACCCGGCACTTTTCCCTGCAACCGCAGGAAGTGCTACACCTGCCCCCATACCTCCTCCCTCACCCCCATCCCAGGCCCCAAGAAGACTTTCCACATCAAGCAGATGTTCACCTGCACATCTGCCAATGTGGTATACTGCATCCGCTGTACCCGGTGTGGCTACCTCTACATCGGGGAAACCAAGCGGAGGCTCGGGGACCGCTTTGCAGAACACCTACGCTCGGTTCGC